GTGAATTTAGATGCACAGCTTGGTAGAAAATGACCAAAATGTCTAAAACATTTTATTTGCGACACAAGAAATATATGTGGAAATAAACTAATAGTAATTACGGTAACCACGTGAAGGGAAACAAAAACAGAAATCTATAGTGATGACGTAATGACGCCAAGTCACGTACGCGACGTGAAGAGAATTGAGCTGCGCTGAGTCTGTCGTTTACGGTAAACCGAGAAACTGTCAAGTCACTGTGACAATTCGTTACTGTTTAACTTACTGTAAATGGTTTAACCTCTTTAAAACATTAATAGTAACGTATTGCCCATATGGTTACTGCAGATTAGTGTATGACCTACTCTTTTCTGTCTTGGATATGGATAACTTTATCCAACCAGACATACGGGGGAGACAGAGGTTGACATCATTTACAGCAGCATCCAGCAGCAGCATCAAAGCATTTCAGTGTAAAGCTACAAAACATATTAAATAAATCACAATATTACGTAACCGATAACCTTCAAAAATAAACGTCTAAATTAGAGACAGCTTCGCGGTGCATGCCGAATCAAAACAAATAATAAATGTATTGTTTATCTGTAAGGAATTATTTAGTTAAAGCTTATTTAATAGTTTCACAACCGTCGCTTCCACGATGTGGCACAATTACAACCGCTAACAACCGCTATGCTTTTATTTCTTAAAGCCACGCACAGTCACTTCCGCTGCCGCGGTGCGCGTGGCTGGCTTGATCCGTCTGCACTTAAAACGCGCCGTGTGTGGAACGTGCGAGCACTCCAGAACTAAACCGTTGGTCGTTCAGTCCGAGGCACGTTAACTCAACCGTTACCATGGTCCGAGAGGTCGAGAGCCTGGTAGGTTCTATATTCATTCATAAATTCATTCATTCATTCATAAATTCATTCTCTTACCGTGGACCGTTAGTAGAAGCGTAGATACGATTATTAACTCTAGCGGTTGGAGATGTGGTGGGGGGTTTTTTTAGCGCGAGGACAGCCGCGTGCCCGCTTCTCTCTCTCTCTCTCTCTCTCGTGACACGTATTAGGAGTTTATTTTGTAGTTTGTGTAGTTCACAAGTTATTTTAAACCTCCTTTTGGTTGCGATATAACATCCAGAGTAAAGCTTTATAGAGCTCAGATCTCGGTTCACTGTAACATAAAGTGGGTGACTCAGCAGCGTTACTGTTAGCCGCTAACGTGAAATCCTGCCGCAGACACCATTGACTGAATATATAAATAAATATAAATATATATAAAGACAGACACTAATAATGCTGCAGTGTTGATGCTCTCCGCAGCGCATTGCTAATGGACACAACGTTGCATAATGTCAGTCTTGAATGAGGCTTGGTTGTTGGTTGGGTACCGATGCTAAACCTTTAACAACTTGTAGCCTGGTGTGTGTGTGTGTGTGTGTGTGTGTTTTAGTGTTGCAAGTCAAAAGGTTTTGACTATATGAAAGAGAGAGTGTATGATTTACTGTGTGTTAACTTACTATATATGTTCACACAAATGGTGTGCGGGTGTGTGTGTGCGCAGTCACTTCATTTACCATCAAGAGTCTTCAGTTTACAAACAGTAGAGATAAGAAAACATGCAGTCTCCAGAATGTTCTCCCTCTGTTTCAGTGTCCTCTGTCCGAATGTGTGTGCTGTTTGCTGAAACTGAACTCTTCATTTTGATGAAGCGGCAGAGGACCCATAAACCAGGGACTGTGCATATGAGTCAATGACAGCAGAGTGGCGCAGCGGAAGCGTGCTGGGCCCATAACCCAGAGGTCGATGGATCGAAACCATCCTCTGCTAACTTACTCATTGACCGTTGCCGCCAAGGTCTGAAGCAAAAGACATTTTGTGCTAAACGCTGACATCAATGTTTAAATCTAAAGCGCTGCTGCAATATTGGTCCTTTCACCTACCGATACACTTTTTTTCACGTTTCTGGACTAAACTGCTAAACAGTCGCACAAAAGTTAACTGCAACATCTGAAAATCGTGGTCCCATTGGTACAATGTGCTGGGTAGCTAACTAAAATGAGTGACTGCAAACACCGTTTTGGCCTTTTTGGTAGTGTGGACCGATGGTCTAGGCGCTGATTTAGACTCCAAGTCCTCTCAGGAGCCGTGGTCAATCCACCAACTGGCCATTTTGAAGATTTAGAACAATCTGTAATATGCTAAATCTTCAAAAAAAAAAAATCCTCGTTAAATGTTCTGAAGAAGGGTGATATGTGCCTTGTGAACTCGAGCCAATCAAGAAAAGCTCTGAAATATAGCCTAGGCCAATGTTACTCACCAGAAGCAGGGTAGTCAGGCTTGGTTCCATGCTGGGAAAAGTTTTTTTTGCTGCCGACTCATGAAGACCAATGAACAACTCAGATGAAAAACTCTCCAAAATTTTCGAAAATGATGGATCATTAGCCTCCTATCTTAAGAAGAGCAGTAGCAAATCTTGTCTTCCTTCCTGCAACTTCAATTTAAGTTATTGTCCGTTTCCCAGTATTTCTTTACCAAGAAACACCTTGATTATTAAACCAAAATTTTGCAAGCCAATTTTTCAAAAAAGCTAGCAGAGTGGCGCAGCGGAAGCGTGCTGGGCCCATAACCCAGAGGTCGATGGATCGAAACCATTCTCTGCTAACTTACTCATTGTACCTGTGCCGCCAAGGTCTGGAAGCAAAAGACATTTTGTGCTAAGCTGACATCAGGTTAAATTTAAAGCAGCTGCTGCGAATATTGGTCCTTTTCCAGCCTACGACTACACTGTTGTTTCAACGTTTCTGACTAAATGGCTAAACATCGCAACAATTGAACTGCAACATCTGAAAATCGTGTCCTCATTGGTACAAGTGTTGCTGCTGGGTAGCTAACTAAATGAGTGGACTGCAAACCAGTTTTGGCAGTTTTTTGGGTAGTGTGGTCCGAGTGATCTAAGGCGCTGGATTACGCTCCAGTCTCTCAGGAGGCCTGGTTCAAATCCCACCACTGCCATTTGGAAAGAATTAGAAATCTGTTAATATGGTAAATCTTGGAAAAAAAAAAAAATCCTCTTAAGATGTGCTGTAAAGAAGGTGTATATGCTTGAGAACTCGAGCCATCAAGAAAAGCTCTGAAATAAGCCCTAGGCCAATGACTCACCCAGAAGCATGGGGTCAGCTTGGTGTTCCATGCTGGGAAAGGGTTTTTTTTCTGCTGATCATGGAAAAGACCAATGAACAACTCAGAGAAAAACTCTTCCAAAATTTCTGAAAAATGGATCATTACCGTCTATCTTAAGAACAGCAGTAGCAAATCTTGTCTTCCCTTCTGCAACTGTTCAATTAGTTATGGTCGTTCCCAGTATCTTTACAAGAAACACTTATATAAAACCAATTTGCAAGCCCAATTTTCAAAAAAAGCTAGCAGAGTGGCGCAGCGGAAGCGGCGGCCCCATACCCAGATCGATGGATCGAAACCAATCCTACGCTAACTTAACTCATTGACCGTTGCCCCAAGGTCTGAAGCAAAAGACCATTTTTCTAAAGCTGACACATGTTTAATCTAAGCGCTGCTGCGAATATTGGTCTTTTCCAGCCCTAATACGACTGACACTTTTTGGTTTCACGGTTTCTGGACTAACGGCTAAACATCGGAAACAACGTGAACTGCAACATCTGAAAATCGTGGCCTCATTGGTACAAGTGTGGCTGGGTAGCTAACCTAAATAGTGACTCAACCCAGTTTGGCAGTTTGGATAGTGTGGCCGAGTGATCTAAGGCGCTGGATTAAGGCTCCAGTCTCTCAGGAAATTTGAAATTAATTAAAATGTTGTTGCTGTTCCAACCTACGACTACTCTTTGTTTTCAATTCAACTGCTTTGGTTATCCGATCACGTTTCTGGACTAAAAGGCTAAACTCCCTCTATAATGCTGAAGGTATGGATCAAAACCTCTGTCTTAATTGGTTCAGCATTTTTAAAAAACTGGAAAAGTTTGGGAAACACTGGCTTACAGGCTCAAATACACTGACAATACTGATTGCAGACCTCACTAAATACCACTTTGTAGTATACTCATTTATTGTCGCAAATGAACTAGAAATAAATAGTTATTTAACTTCAGAACAATGACTTGACACAACTTATTGTCTTTTATTAAGGATCATTTAATCTTGTTTTCTTATTTGAGTGTTTTGTTCCAACTTAGCTCCACAGAGCTCAACATATTATGGCTCCTTGTGATTTTCCCTGTCCTTTGCCTGCTGCTTGTATGTTTTGTTTGGCTTTCAGCTCAGGAAACCTGTGGAAAA